CTAAAATCGTGGAATGTAAACAATATTGAAAAATCTTATAAGAAATAAAAACAATAACAGAATTTTTTGAACTTATAGACAAAGACAATTCCAGTTTTAAGCACATAAAAGGAATTTCAAAATTGAATTTCGTTTCAAATCATTTTAATTTCAACAATATAGAAATTTTCCGAGAAATTACTGTAAATTAATAAATTTTATATTATCATATTTTGGACATTAGATATTTCAGATCTTTACGATAATAAAAGCGTTAACGATAATAAAAATTATTAAATTTTAAATACATACATATTATATTTCAGGGTTTCTATTCGTACACATAGTATTAAAAAAAATTGTATTTAATGTTATATATTAATGATTACTCTTCCAAAAACATTTATTTTCAAAATAATACGATTATATTTTGGTATATTATTCAAGTCCATGACCTCACACATTGAATATTCTAAATGCAATACATATTTTATACCACTGAGCCAAATTACTTGTATACACGGCATCACGGTGTATAAACATTCACAAAAATTTTCTTAGTACATAAACAAAAAAAAAAAAAGAACAAATTAAATTAAAAAAATATTTGTGTATTTTTCCTCCAGTGAGTTTCAATATTTTTTCTCTTGTTTTTTTTCTTGCTTTTTGAATACAAACCATAAATATTATTCAACATAATAATTTTAATGAAAGTAAAAACAAATTTAGTTTGTTTATTTATCTATCTCCTTATATATCACATACATATACGTACTATACATAAATAATACATTTATAATAATAGAAGGCTGTAGTTTAATTAAAACATGATCTGAAATGGTTCTTCTTTTATTTTTAGCATTCTATATTTTCATTAATAAAAATAAATATGGAGTGAAAGTCAAGTAAAAATAATGGAGAAAAAAAAAATAACAAAAACAAATACAAGAATGTTTATTAAATTTAACAAATGATAAAAATTTTAAGATCATCTGGTTTTTAAGTAAAAAAGAAAAATTATAAGAAAAAAATGAGACGCATATGTATATATAGACTAAAGATCAGACTTGTCAATTTATAGGAATTTCCCCTTATATAAATTGAGTGTCATGGAAAAGTGGTTATAATATGATTATGGTTATAAAATAAATCACAAGATTTTATGTTTACAAAAAAAAAGAAAAGAAATCTATAAGGAAGTCAATCGAACAAATATCGTCTATATTTTGATTTTTAGTACATTTCAAAACAAAATCGAAAAATATGCTTATAAGTTTCACTATGACCGCCATATGCGTCAGTTTATACTACTTTTCCAACCTGTGTACGCAGGAAGCTAAAAATTTATTCACAAATAAAACCATGCTGGTGTATGTCGAAATTATTTTGATGGAAGAAAATTTTTTAATCTTTTCAAAGTTATATAGGTCGCACCACATTCTAAAAATTTCTCGTTTTGAGAATTTATTGTATCGAGATCGCAAAAATTTTTCAATTTTCCGAATCATTAAGAAAAAAATAAAAAAGACAAAAAAGCTTCATTTTAATTTGGTAAGTTATAATTGTCCAAATTTTAAATGATTCTAACAATTTCTTAAAAAAAAATTGACAGAAATTAAAAAAAAAACAAACTAAAAATTACTAAACTGTTTTATTTTTTTAGAATAATTTTTATTTCTTTACTTTTTCCCTTTCGAAGTTATCGTTTCACCACAAATCTAAATTTTCGGTAACCCATTGCTCCGAAACTGTAATCTTTTCCAACATTTTTAGAAAAGCAATTAATAAGAGATGAAAGTCTTATCAAAAAGTATAATTGTTTTCCTTGTATTGACATGAATAAGTGTCCATTTAATGTTTTTTTTACTGTGTTACCCTAAAAGTATGCAATAAGGGAATATTTTACTATTCAAGAGTATGACATAGAAACTTCAAAAAAAAATATATTGGGTAAAGGAAATTAGTCCTTTTATAGTCAATTTTCAGAGATTAGAATATTCAATATAATATGCAAACTAAATGACAGTAGGTACTGGAAAACAGAATTTTAAAGTCAAAAAAAATTTTGCTCTGAAATGTCTCTCAAAAATTCAAAAATATATAATTCAACCTTAAAAAATTTGCAACAAATTCTGAATAAAAAGATTGCAAGTTAGACAACTTAAATATTATACATATACAGTCTTAATACAAAATTTGAATAACATGAACATAATTCATCAACCATCAATATAATTGATTGTGCCCATTTTAATGATGTCAATATTCTGTCAAATAAAATTATGATAATTAAAAAAATTATAACAATATTGAATTTTTTTTTTATTTTCATATATCGTTGTCATTCATTAATTTTACTATGTCACATAATTAAAAATCTACGATATTTGATAGACAAATGAGAATAAGAATTGATTCTTTTGTATATGTATACATTATATAGAATGTCCATAATTATAATTTGTGATAGATCTTGGTATATAGAACGTCATTTCCGTAAATACAATTCTATGAACTACAATATAAACACATGAATATCTTTGCAAAAAAATATACATATATAATTTTGCGAAATTTTATAACAGTTTTGATATAACATAATAATAATCTAGATCTAGAATATCTATATATATGCAATTAGAAAATATAAATTATAATATTGAATATTTAGATGAAATATCGTGTATTTCTTATTTAGTTTTTTTTTTTATTGTTCTAAATTACGTAATTTTTTCATCTCATTTTTATTTTTGTAATGTGAAAATTGGACAAAATCTAGTAAAATAAAAATATTTTGAAACCTGAAATAATTTTTTTTTTTTTCTGAATTTTTTAAATATTTATGTAAATTAATATTTTTTTTTTAATAATAATTTATACCTTAATTTTTTTTTTTACAAGGTTATGTCAAAACCCATTATTGATGCTGAATTTTGAAGTCGACTGATTTTGCGCAAAACGACAAAAACCATGAATTAAAAAATAATAGAAAATAATTGAGTAATAAAAAAAATTAAAAAAAAAACATAATTAAATAATAAAAAAATGAGTAAAAAAATTTGAGGTTAGATTAATTTTTTTTAATTTTGTTTTTTTTTCCCCCGAAAATTACTCGTAAATATCAAATTATTTTTGCAATTATGTTTTGTGTATGATAATCAATATTATAAAAAATTAAATTGCTGACAATAGGAAGTAGGTAAGTTGAGATACAACATTGAGTAAACAATATCTCCTTGGCAGTGGCTAAAATTTACAAATGAGGTAAACTAGATCCAGTAACCCAGAATCTGGGATCCGACCAATTTTTTGTCATTTTTCCGGCAGGTTGTCCACTTTTTTTTGAAAAATTGAATTTAATGACATTTTTACATTTTATATGTAAAATTATGTAAGTTATATTTATAGTATGTAAAATTATATAATAAAATTATAAAAATAAAAACATGTTATGCGTAAAATTACATAATATGGGCAATGAAATCAAATTTGGAATATATTGAAATTCATACAAATTAGGAATATTTAAAATAAACTGGAAATACGCATTTACTAAAACAGAATAATGTAAAAACATGTAATGCGTATGGTGACTACATTTTAAACACATAAGTCAACATAAAAATTACACACGATTTAAATACTTGATTGCGACCTTATAAATGTAAGTGTTGTTTTCAATTCTATAAACAAATAATTAAGTTTAACACAACATAAAATAAAAAAATTATAAGATTTCTTATCAATTTGTAAACTTTTATAATTATAAGATGAAATTAAAAATTGACCCCATTTAATGTGTGTGTGTGTAACATAACGTATACAAACACGGAGTCCATATAATATATCTGATATTATCTATATATGTAATCCACATTTGTATTGGATTCGTTAATGATATTCCAACATTAAAATAGAATTCTTATACTTTGGCACTTTCTTCATTTATATAATGTTTAAGGAATGTATGTATCAATCTATGGACTTTTAGTATGCAATAAAGTTTTGTCTTTTATTATTTGTAACATTTTATTAGCATTAAACCGAAAACTTATCACTTAATTCTCACTTTTTATAAAAATTCAATCAAGGACACTATAAATGCATAATAATTTTGACTTAGATTGTATCGTTTTGAAAGAAATCATAATTAATATGCATTTATGAAGTTCATTATAAATGTTTGTGGAGAACTTAAGGAAACTGGTGATTTAATGTACCTCTTAAATCGCGATATATGCGTTTATTTTCCTTTGCTATTGTGGCTAATTTTCCTTCAAATTTTCTGTAGACAAATCCAAAATGGAGAGTTTACAAATCATTTGCCTTAACTGCTCACAGAATCCTGCAATATACGATAATAAGCTGTAGCAAAAATATTTTTGAGGATATTTGAAATCTTTTGAAAAACTTTACACGCCTTTTCTGGCTAAACTAGAAGAGAAAGAGCGATTGTAAGCTCCCGTAATCACCGGGAGCTCGTAGAATCTGCCAATATATGATATCGTCTTCATTATCGTCTTCGAATAGAATATTTTCACAGAATGTAAATTACTTAATGTAATTCCTATTTGTACAAATATACTTTATATAAAAACTTACTATATAACTAAAAATTTCTTAAAAACATGAATTATTCCACATTGCTCTCGCAGCATGTACAAAATAATATGCAAATTTAAATAGAATAATTTTCACTATATATATACAATTAAATTTTAACACCTGGTCAATTTCTCGAACATATTTTGAAAGCTATTATAACATAAAATAAAATAATTAAAAAAAAAATAAGAAAACTTTTTTCGACATTATAAACCTTTCCAAAAATTGAATATTTTTGACCAAAATTGAATATTTTAATTGAATTAAACTTTCTCAATACAATTCAATAGCCATGGCACGTTTACACATACGATTGATAGTTAATTTTTGATAATTATAAATTCAAATTGCATTTTATAATTATAATTAAATTTCTTTTTAAAATATTTTAATGAAAATTTTATTTAATTATTATTTCAGTCATAATATATATAATATAAGGTAGCAATAACAAAATATTGTGGTGTTTCATATGTAAAATTAACAAAACCATCAGCATTTGGATCCCATAAAAAACTACACATTGATTCCATACCTTGGTAAAATTTTTCACCAATTGTAACAATTGATATAACTCTGAATCTGAAAATATAATAATATTTAAATAATATACATATAACATTTGAGAACGTGTTGGGGGTGTGATTTTATTTTTAAGTGTGTTTTACTAAAATTTTAATAATGAAATCTATAGCAAAGTTAACAAAGATATTTGAGGTTAAATTTTTTTTTAGAAAATAAATTTTATAATAATTATATACTGTGCTTTATAAAATCTGCTTTATATACAAAAAATGAAATAGAATACTGTCGGTCTTCGACCATGATCTTCTTGAAATTTTGATTCAAAACAGTTATTTGAACAAGTTCAAAAACTTTAAATACATAATATAAAATTTTTACAGCATTCGTATTTTAAATTTAGAAAAATTTTCTCTTAAATTAAAATAAATTCAAATTGAAATAAAACTTTCCAAAGGTTTTACAAGCCTATATATAGAACAATTCAAGCATTCAATTATTTTCATGACCTACCCGAATACTATTTTTGAATTATGCATACAATATTGTAATCGAACATTTTATTGAACTTTGCACGCACAATATCGAAAACTTAGTATACATACATCCGTTTATATAATATATTTATAATTTATTGATGTTATACGGATCTAACATTCTATGAAGGTTAATGTTAATACAAATTTTATTTAAAATTATTCAAATAAGAATGTTTTTTTTGTTGTCTTACTTCCTATAAATTACAACAATATTAGCATTATTATTTTACTATCTATATACTTTTATACTTGAATAATACTAGATTCAACAAAATGAATTGATTGATTCCAATTGATTAAAGTAATCATCACCAGAATTGATAGTTTACAATAAAAATTTAAAGAAAATTTTATTTATTTGAAAATTTTGTTGAGAAGTTCAAGGTTAAATTATATGCATGCTTTTCCAAATTTTATTACAGATAATTAATTAATTTATTGAAAGAAAATCATATAATGAGTTTTTGTATTTTCTAGAAATAAATAAATATATTAATTGCATTTCAATAAATGTTAATAATTTATATAATTAAAAGACATAACAAAAAATATATCATGTTTAGGGTTACCATATAGTACGCAAATTATTTACGATATAACCTTGAAAAATGTCAAATTCTTATATTATATTTTGGTATTTACGATTTAAGTGCCCGTCAGTTAAAAATTACGGTATTACTACTATACAATCGTTATGGTATATAGTTCAACAATTCCAACTCATGAGTTGAATTTTTGAATATTAATATGCGCGTGGTGTGCAGCATCTGAATGTGTAGCTATTTCATCAGTTCTGACCATTTTGATCTAAATTAAACAGCAATAAGAAATAAGAATACCATTGAAAAAAATTAAAAAAAGAAACTGATAGAGGCTAATATAGGGGCGTTTTCATTTCTTTCTATCAAAGCATATCTAGATCTGTCAAATTTTAGGTCAGCTTTTGTTTTTTGCCTAGAGCGTTCAGTGCCAAACATTATAGTGTTTAGTTTTTGCGATTAGTTATTGCTATAGATATACTCAGATTACACTCTATAATGTGTTCGAAAAAAATATTCTGTTTATATCTCATATTCTGTTTTGACATTACTTTTTTTAACTTTTTGACAAAACTCTGTGCCAATTTGAACACAAATTTGCGATACAATAGAAGGAATATCGTAGTCGTCTTTTTTTTTTAAATAAGAGCTGTCAGAAAACTCTGACAAAATAAAGAGCATGAGTACATGACAGATATACTCTACTGCATGCTATGAATATGTTGGAATTCTTTTCTGATGAAACTCAATTCAAACAAAATCCCTGTCCAAACTGAAAATGGAAATTATTTTATACGTATGTATACTAGAGAAATTTTAAAATTTAGCAAGAAGCGATTTTCACCATCAAATATAAAATGTGTTTTCAAAAATATAGCGAAACATTAAAAAATATTTATGTTTTGAACTTACTTACCTGTCAAATTCAAATGTTTTAAATTTATATTTAAGTTCTTCACTAACACTTTTTGCTAATTTTTGTGCTGCTTTTGATTCATATTGAAAATCTTCAAATGATTTTGTAATAACTTTTTCCATCATTTTTTCAACAGTTTCCTTATTAACTGGTTTCTTTGATTCAAGACGATATGTTGGCAAATATTTCATAGTTGGTGTTTGCTGTTGTGGTGATTGTTGAGAATTTGTTTGTTGTAAATCATTTGTAGATTTTTGTATTGTTAAAATTAAATTTTTATTATTATTGTTATTGCCATTATTTAAATTCGAATTATTATTAGTATTTTGTAAATTAATACTAAGATTACTATCAGTTTTTTTTAATTTATTTGTTATATTATTCATCTTAACAGTTAAAGGATTGTAACCTAACTGGAAAATATAGTTTTTATAAAACTAAAAATAAGGATTAAAAATTCATAATATTTTTCTTTTATTTATTTATTTATTTATTATTTTTTTTTTCTTTAGAAAATCAAAAAGTTTGAAATTTAATTTTTTCTTTCTGTTTTTTCTTTTCGGAATTTTCCTCAATTTGTTTTTTGCTTTTTATATTTTTCATTGAAAAATTATATTATAATTTGCATTATATACGTTTAGCTTAGTTTTTTTTTATTGTACCTACATAAATACGCTAGTTTGTTTGTATTTACAACAATTAAAGTATATATTAGAGAAATATACAACTATACACACATACACATTGTGTATATTTTTTTCATATATAATAAGAGACGCACAGTACTGAAGGAAAGTAATAAAAATTTTTATAACAATTTTTATTATTATGTCAAATATAATAAAAATTCTCTTAAATAAATTGAGTCTTGTCTCTACAGTACAAAATCATGAATGATTTTTCAAAAATTTGTGTATGTTTTCTAAATATGGGGTAAAAGCCTATATAGTTTTTCCTTTTGGAAAGTGTTTAAATATTAGGTCCCTAAAATATTTTACCATAATGAATTTGATACTATTTTTTATATTATATTTAAACAACATAAAAATGTATAGTGTAGGTTAGGAAAAACTTTTAAAAAAAATTTTTTTTTTCAAAAGAAATTTAAAAAATAGTGTGATAATTATAAGGAGATGAAAAATATTCTTTTCATGTATATTTTTTAAAGCAATAATTATACAGAAAATATTAATAATTAAAATGAATTACTAATATTTGTGATTAAATAATTTTTTAAATTCAGTTAATTAGTTTCTTAATTTATGTATCTAACTGCACGAAACCTCTAAATTTTTTTCAAAATAATTTAATTTTTTAGGTAAGTGGCCGCACCTGCTAATTATAATGATAATAATAATTAAATTTTACGCAAAGACTCAGTTAAATTTCGTATAAAACAATTAAACACAAAAAAAAATTATGGCTATCTAATGCAAAATTTAAGATTCATTAACACCTTATTACCTATGTATACATATATAAAAATCAAACATTCGATCAAGAATAAAATAAACATGAGTATGTTAACTTCGTCCTATATATAAACAAGTTAGTAAATGTGTTATGCGGTATTTTTATAAATGAACTGAATATTTCAACAAAAAAATTATTGTTATAGTTTTTATACAAACATCCTAAATGGACATTACAAAACGTCATTAGACGTAATCAAATAATTTTATATAAGCAACAATCATATTTTTATATAAATAAACATTTATAATTGCATCGCATTCAGTGCAATTGCCATTAATTTTGTTTACCGCATATCGCATTCCGCATACATTTAAGTTGAATGTTAAACATATAGTGGTTTATTTGACAAAATCATTGTCATATGTGGCCTGAATACGTTAGTATAGCAGAGCCGTCAGACAATTGATATTCATTTAAAATTTTGAAACCCTACATTTTAAAATCTGTTAAAACCCTGAGATATTGAACTAAATTGGAAAAATTAATTTTTTTTTTTGATATTTTTTTAAGCACAAAAGGAAAATAAATATTCATGCATTTCATGTTTTTAAGGATATATAAAATATGAATTTTTTTTATCATGCTTAAGATATAATTAAGATAACATTAATATTAATATAGATTTAAAATGTTATATCGAAAGAACTAAATAAATCATGCAATGCAAGATCTTATATATAAAAAAAAATGCAAATCATATAAATAACATTTTTACCTTAAAATCTAGAATATAACATGGGTTAGTTTTAAGATTTTCGTCCAGCACTGCACTTAAAATTTGACTAAAAAGTTTCTTAAGTACACATACAATACAAATAACTATAAACTTACCTTAACATTGTTCAATCCTCGTTTAAAATATGACTGTAAAGAAAAACAGAGGATTACATACGTACAATATAATGTAGGTATATATGCATATAATATAAAAAATATATTTAAAAATAATAAAATGTGTTTAGTATTTTAGAACGTAAAGCATTTATGAAAAGTAAACATAAAAAACATTTCACCTCCTCTTCGCTCACATGGTTTATTTTATATTTTTTATAAATTTATTTGAGTAAAATTAAAGTTAAACTATAACAGCCATAATAAATAAATTATATTTCATGAAAAAAAAACATTCTTTCATATAAGAAAAATAGATATGTATACAAAAATAAAGAAGGATCTAAAAAAGAGGATATAACAAAATACATACAAAAATAATATAAAAGTTTTGGATAATTTAGCATGCAAAATATTTCAACTTTTTATAGCTTAAATCAAATTGACAGTAATAATAAAATATAAAAAAAAAAAAAATTTTAGAAAATTTTATTTATTCATGCTGTGATATGCGTGTACTTAAATTAACTATGAGAACTGTTATAAACTTTTAATACACATATAATGTATAATTACACTATAAAGATGGCACCACAAAAAACTTACTGTCACAATAAATAGTTCTTAAATTTACGTTAAGCTTTCTTTAGGTCATTAAAAATAGGCATGTAAGTTAAATTTCAGTTTGCTATTATTGCTAGCCAGAAGATAAATTAATATATTGTGCGATCTAGAAAAATGAATCAAAATATATACATATGTATCTTTGTTTAAATCAAGTATTTACTACATTCTACGTTGTCTAAAATTTTTAATTTCATTGACTTCATTCAAACTTGCCGCAACGGGATTTTAATACGGAAGTCAGCTAAATTCTATATGAGTTGCTAAATTCTATAGTAAAACAATATCATAGCAGTTTATAAATCACGCCTTGTTGTCAATTTATTTTATTCAGTAATGTGAATTCAATTGCTGAATAAAGTAAAATGATAACAATTTTATCATTTCAGGGTTTTATTCATTTAAAATTTGTTTTGTCACTATTTCAAACAATAACAATTTTAAATTTTTTTTATTTTTTAAGATAAAACGTCCATTTCATTCATTCAGCAATATAATGTCAATTGCTGAATAAGTTAAATTGACTTTAGATACTCTTTTTTTTTAGACACCCCAAATATTTGTAATATTTTCAACTTAATTCATTTATATCAAAAATATTTTAGATGATAAAACTTACTCAATTATAATGCACTTTTAGAACATTCAAATTTAATATCTGCATAATTTTTAAAAATCACGCAATAAATAAATTGCAGACAGTGATTGATTTTAATTTACTTTTTTTATAAATATTGTTTGAAATGTATCGAAAATGAATTTCACGTGCACTGCATGTGTCTTTTTATTATAAATTCTACTACGCAAAACATGTACGTATATATAAAGTTAAACAAAATCAGTTATTATTTAATAATTTTCCATTTTCAAAATTCGTTTATTTATTTTTACATGTATGTAAAGATTTTTAGGCAAAAACTGTAGAGTGTAATAACAATTTTATAGTGTAATAAATTGGCTAAGATAATGTAATTTATTTGAATATTTTTCAGGAGAAAAGTTTATTGAATTCATTTTGACTGACAGTCTTAATTGAAATTATAAGTGACTATAATATATTTTTGGAAAATTTTCTGATAGTCTTAAATATAGCACACAGCAGATTTAAATACAAGTATATTGTGCTATGATTATCTGTATAGGGTGGATCATATATCATTTGCTTTTTTTGAAAATCCTATTATTGAAATTAATTTTCGAAAACCGACAAGAAACACAGTCTTTTCATGAAATACATCTACATATAATGTAAGAGTCGTTTAATATTCTGAAATGTCAACAAGGAACTAAATAAATTAAACTAAAGTAATTTCTATATTGCGGAATTTGACATTGAATTCCTGACTCTGTTAACCGTAAAATAAATGTATAAATTATAACACTAAAATAAATAAATTTTTTATATCTTTTGTAACGATTCTGTTTGAGTCAAATTAAGAAAAGAAATGAGCTTATTTGAAAAAGTGAAAGAAAATATTAATTAGAATCAGGAAAATGTTCATTTTCTTTTATTTTAACGCAAATATTTAATATTAAAATTAACACTTTTTATGTAAATAAACGCCAAATAATGGTTCATGTTCAAGATCGATAACAATCAAACTATATGTTCAAACAATCGATACTATTGTGCATCACCACAAAGACACATTGACAATTTTTTTTCGATTTTTATCGAAGTTACCCAATTCATTTTCGAATTCGATATTATTTGTATTAGAACATTTGAAAATCGTAAATGATCCACCTTTTGCATTCTTACGCTTATTATTGATAAAAGAAAAGTTTAAATTTGTAATTTGTTTATGCATATTATGAATAAATATATAAAAAAAACACAAAATTTTTATTACACTGTTGTATAATTTTCTATCACTAAACCTATCACTTTTCAATGAACATTTTCTATTATTTTGAATGAACATGTACAATGTATATACAGTATAGACTCGCAATTTTTATGGATTAATTAAATAATTTACTAGCAACTACAGTTGTAACCACTATATTAAATTTGTCAATTAATCAATTGATAGCCATCACAGATTAACTACTCAATTTTATGTCAAATAAGTAAGTACAGTTTGTATAACAGAGTAATCAATACAAATAATTTTGCGTTCACATAATTTGATCGCTCATATTCATAAATAATAAATATATCAGCTAGCTGTGAGTCTACTGTATATAATATTCAAACTTTCATTCTCAAAAAAAAAAAACATAAAATAGGAAAAAAAATAAATAGAAAATAAAATACAATAAGAATATTTGTTATATTTTATCGTTTTGTTCGCTATAATTTCATTATCATTTTGATTTATTGTTATATTCCACCCATGTTTTGTTTGTATATTTTGTTTAATATAACAGATTGCTAGTATGTTATTGAATATTTTTTTTTTTTAATTTTGATTTATTATACAATTTTATTTGATTGAATTTTTATTATCCTTCTTATAATGTAACACTTCTTTTAAAAAAATAATTAATATTATATATGCATATACAAAGATATTGTATATTCATAAGTGCAAAACATATATATTTTAAGTGAATAAGTAAAATGAGACTTTTTACCAAAGCGTATTGTATATGTATTGTTACATAAATCAATTTGACAAATTTGACTTTGCATTTAAGTGTAAACGCAACTCTAAATTATTTAATGTTTCTGCTACTTTTCGCTTGATTCATGTGAACTTAAAATTTTTTTTTTTGTAAATCACTACATAAATTGTATATTTTTTAGTTTTCTACTTATTTAATAAAATTTATTATATACAAATAACTATATTTATTTTATTAAATTTCAATATAAATCTAAATCATATATTAATATAACAATATACATATGTATATGGTAAGTGTGTATAATAGATTTTATTATATTGACAATTTATTTACGTAAATTAAATTAATATAAAAATAAAATCATATTTCATGTTTAAATTTAATAAATATTTTTTATAGAATTTTATATAGATATATATACAGTGTATATAGATAAATATAGGTATACCTTAATTAATGGTTCTGGTTGATCCTGTTGCTGTTGTTGTTTAAAGAAATCATGAAAATTTCTTACAAAACCTGACCAATTAGTTGCCATAATGATTTTTACTTTATCTTTCTTTAGTATTTAAAATTTAAATTTTATATTATAATTTAAAAATTAATTTAAATATTATAAATGAAAATAATCTTTTCCCTCTTGATCCTGAAATCTATTTTATCCTATATGCAATAATGTAATGTTGCCTTTGTAAAAGTGAAATTTTTACTATTACGAGCGTACTCGTCTTAATAATTTTATAATTTTTAATATTTGGTTATTTTCTTCTTTCTAATATATAAGAATAAACGAGTATAGGTTAATTTGTTAAAATAGTTTTATTATTTTATACACTTGCGATTTTTTTCTACAAACATTATTTTTTATGTTATTTTTTGATGAAAAGTGAAATGTTTTTTGTACTTGTTTTTTATTCTTGCATTTAAAAAATATTTTCTTATATGCATATATGAGATTTAAGAATTGTTTAATCGATAGTTTTTTTAACTTATGTACATACAATATACTTTCACTATTGTTTTCTCTTTATATTAAAAATCTTAAAAAGAGTACATGAAAATTCAAAAGGAGGAAAAAAAAACAATAAAGTAAGTACTTATACATATCATTATTTATTTCCATAATTTACACAAATAAATTTTTCTTTTCTTTTCTTTTTTTTTTTTAATTTTCAATATAAAATATATTTAAATGTTTATTCGTGTGTGTATGTGTGTACTTAATTTCTTCTTCTTCTTAATTTCCAAAAGAAATCATGTAATATTATAGACAGATAATCAAAGATCAAATTATCGAATTATATTTGACTACATACATATAATATTTATTATTTTATTCTTTTGAATAAATATAATAAATTAGGCACAGTTTGTGCTTAAAATGATCATTTGATAATAATCATTTAGGTTGTAAATATTTAAGCTAAATTCTGCAAAACAATCTTGAAATCGGAATAGTAATAATTCTGCATTGTCACATAACATAACTATTATAGTACCCAAGAAATAAAATAAATTTTCCACTAAATTTCACTAAATAAACCGCAAAAATCATTTTCATACAATAGGAGTATTTTTCGAAAATGTAAGAAAATTATTCTATATATTCCAAAATCGCCTAAGATTTATTGAAAAAATTACAGAAGTAGTACACAAAATTTTGAGAATCGTTAAAAAAAGTGAATTATCGCAAAATAGAGATTCTCGTTATAACGAGAGGTCGTTAAATATATACTTTATATTCCAATGTATTATATAATATGTTATTTAAGAAAAAGAATAATTTTTATTAACTTTAATATTTTTATTGATTTAAAATATCAATTTTTTTAATATTGGACAAAATTACACTCTAAAAGCTACTTTTTGCGTAAAAAGAAAAGTTTTTTGCCTCATTTAAAATTGTAATGCAAGAAAAGATTAATTAATTTATATTCTGATAATCTATATATGTGTCGCAATAAGTTCAACCTGAACCAAATGGGTAAATACGTTGTAAATTCAAATACAAATATTATAAAATGTTAGTTCAATCTGGTATAGAGCTTAAAAAAACTTCAAACGTTGACAAATTGCTGACGTCCTTATTTTCTCTAATTTTTTTTCAAAAAGTATTATACCCAGATGCTTTGTATACTAAAATTTTATATAGTTTCTTTTACCAGACAAACCTATTGCATGTATCTAAAATTAACAAGCATAATAATTTAATTACAATTAAATTTATTTTAAATTTAAAAACAAAATTAACCCCCTATTTTTATTTTTAAAACTTCGATATTTTTATTTTCGATCTTTTGCACTCTAGCCTCTAACCATAATATTATTTCTTCTTGTGATTTATGGTGATATTTCATATGGCAACGACTTTTAACATTTTTATATACTTATTAAAAAAAAAAGAAAAGAAAAACAAAATCAAAAAACTTTTTAATTTCTTTTTATCAACTTTATGTAGGTGGATAAGTGTAACATGCAAGGAAAAATTATTTAAAAAAAAAATAAAAATAACAAGTTTAATCGATTTAAAACGATTTTCATATTCTATATGCTAGCATATTATACATATGTGTGTACATATGTACATGTAGATTAAGAAGACACCAACTTGTTGTAGTGGGTGCTATAATGAAATTTGTACTATTTTTCCTTTCTTAAGGAGGAACAAATTCATGGGCTTTTCGTAGCATACATACATACATATGTATATACATTCATATAGCATACAATGAATAAACACAGGTAATATACATATATGTATGTACATAATTTTATATAATAAAAATGCTGCATTATGAAAATAAAAATGAAATCATAATAAAAAATAAATACTTAAAAGTTTAAATAAAACTTTAATAATGAAACAGCAAACTCACGATCACTTGAACTAAGTATATATGTACATGACATGTGTTGTTCAAATTGACATACATATTATGTAGGTATGAAATATCAGTGTAGACAAAGGCGATGACAAATATCAGTAAGCAAAACAAAAATTTGGCAAAACATTTGAATTGACCTAAGAATGGTATTTTTGTACTACATTAAAGCACAAATTTTTGACACTAAAATATGTGATTCTTAAAATTTCGAAATAATAAATTTGTTTCATAGAGGGCTGAAATTGTGACCCTGACTTATTTTATGATACCAAATTTGCTTCATAGGGGGCTAATACAAATCTACAGTTGTACAATCTTAATACACAGTCCACTGTAGATTGTGTTTGTATTATATCCATTGCGATTGTAAAGAAGGGGTAACTGTGCACTGCGACCAGAAAATATATATCTATTGTACCATACAACTAGGTGCGGGACAAAGCCCTACAACACCCCTTCGAGACCCACCCTTCTAATGAATCCGAGCAACTTTGAAGGGCTGGTAGTGAAAGTGAGCAGCTGGTGAAAGTGAGCACGTACTTCCCCAGTACCTCCCTTCTCATGGACACAATCCATAGCAAATACTGTGTTCATTAATACTTTACAAAAAATTGCTGCACTTGTTCTTAAAATCGAGAAATTACTTTAAAATAATAATAATAATAATATTAGTAATAAAAATAAATTAAGTTTCTTTAGTAGACTAAATACACAAGTACAATATTCCTTATTTTAACGAAAACTTTAATAAAAAAAAAATTTAAGCAATTTGGCATAAAATAATGTTGAAAAGAAAATTAGGTTAAAGGCATTTTTGCATATTCACATAATATAAAAGCACATTTAAAATGGCATAATAATGATGTAACGATGAACTATATTGATTATTTCCATTCCATTGTAAACCTAGAGGATTCAGAAGAAAGAATATTTTGCTTTTCATGCTCTTTTAATTTACTTGTAACTAGATCATTGGAACTTTTATTGAAAATCCTAGTTTTGTAATTTTGTATTACTTCAAAAGTAATTGCAGTTAATGGAGCAAAATTTTTAAACATGCACGTATAGAAAATATTGTAGCTTGTAGTTATATTTGAAAATATTGCCTTAATCTTAATTGGATGACATTGAAAAACTAAAAAGGTCAAAATTAAGTTTTTTCATAAATTTAAATTTTTAATTTTAGGCGAATCGTTAAGCGAAATGAATGAACTTTGCGAATTGGATCAACATAGATCCAAAAAGTTTCTATTTCAAAACATCAAGAACTATACAACTCCAAATAGTGAGCTAAGGGTATCAAGATTGGAACAGTGAATGATTGAGCGAATCGAATTAATATGGCGAATTCAGTAACATTTCAAATCATGATTGGTGAATTATTTGACGCGCCGAAATGCTGCTATCACGAAAAATATAAAAACTACATTGTCATAACGTCAAAATTTTTATTATTTTATACCTTTATTATCTCTAAAATATAAGCGAATTTGCTAATCTTAGTACAAAAAATTCATATCCACCAAAATTGAAATTCGTTCTGCCGATTATAATTTATAGGTCCCATATGCTTTACAATTATATCGAATATAATTCGAAAAATTCTGGACACCTTGTTTCATATGTTTTTATGATGATACATTATATTTTATTAATAGTGTTTCGATTTCATTTAAAATAAATAAACGAATGTGTTTTTTTATAAATTTATTGTTCATTTTCATTTTCTGATGATAAAAATTTTATAATATTGAATGTTTACACAAGGCGTTTATAGTATAATACTTATTAAATCAACAAGTTGTCAATCATATTGAATATCATTTAATAAAAAAATTTCTAATATTATTTATTGTTATTGTATGTATATAAACTTACATACATAAGTATATAAATAAGTAAATACTCTTAACATTAACTGCGAAAGCATGTCACATTAATTTAGCCCTTTAATTTGTTGACATGTGAACTGATTCTTTATTAACATGCAACTTTCTATATACAATATTTTCCCTATGCACAATAAATAAATCTAAATAAATAAAAAAAAAAATTCTTAAATTTCATGAAAATATTTTTGTTTATTTTTTTTGTTAAAATCGTTGTTTCATGAAAAAAATATAAAAGATAAATTATGTGGCACCACACTTTCATTCACAATATTTTGAAATTTATAGCCCACGAAATGCTTACTATATTGCATAAGATCAGATAAGATATTAAATTTTTTTTTGCGTTGAGTAAAGAAAGAGCCTCTTATGAAAATAATCTGTAAAATAATTATTTGCTTTATGCAAATTAGCGTTTCTACTGAAATACTTTGTAATCATATTACTCTCCTAGATAGGGTCAAAATTTCAATAAAACTGAATTGCAGTTACACAAATATGGTAAGCTGAATTTTTTGATAGATTATTCTTAGTGCAATTCTCCTAAGTAACATTCATTTAATCAAATATGAAGACCGTTACGTACATTAGTCATACTTGTCAATAGAAAAATTGCAACTTATATTTGGAATGTTGAATACGCGATCTGGCTGCTCATTTTTTATTTTTTATTTTAGATTTTCATTAAGGCTCCAACATATTGAAAATAAAATATAAAAAAACAATACATACATTACTCAAAACAGATGGGTTTTTTTATGTACTCTTTGTTTTTCTATATTTTTATTTTGGACTGCACTTCAAACATGTTTTGTTACAGTTTGTCAACGTCAAATCAATTCTGTTTGGTGTGCCATTTCAAAATGGAAACATTGAACTCGAAACTATTGAACGTTAGATGCTCAATTAATTTCACATTTGGGACCCATCGTTTAATAAGCAAAAATATGCAATACAGCCGCCTAGATAATTGTCATTGGAGCTACAAATACGTATGTATGTATGTATC